GTACATCTTGATAATGCAACATATAATTGACCATGAGTAAAACATGGAGGATCTAAGATCAATTTCCAACATTTGTTACAGATTGGCCTTGAGCTTTATTTATTGTCATTGCAAATGCTAAACAAACTGGAAATTGAAGCCTTTCCATTTGAAATCCAATATGCTTTTCAGATGGATGGAATTTGATCCTTGGAATGAAATGTATTTGACTTTTCTTATCTCCAGAAATAAGTCTAACTTTTAGTTGTGTTCTAGTTGAATCAAGTAAAATACATCTTGTTCCATTACAAAGACCATCTTCTATATTAAGATTTCTTAAAATCATTAAAGGAACTCCTTTCTTGAGCTTCAAAATGGAGGGGGGCAATCCAGAGCAAGTAATTGAACTTAAATATTCTCTTGGAAATATTGTGTTTGTATTATCAGCTCCAGTTTCTGTCAAAACTTTATCAACAGAAAAGTAAGAAACCTCTTCTCCAGGAAACATTTCTAAGATCTTTTCATTAATAGATTGAACTCCATCATTCCTTGATGAAAGAATTGTTCTATTTAAAAAGAATTCATCATATTCAGAAGTATAGATTTCAAGTTCTGGATTTAATGATTGAATGTTTGGATAAATTGTGTTAATAAGTGATTCAACTGTATTTCCACATTTCATTTGTTAAGGTAAAGTAATTGCACCATTCTCTACAGTGTGTTGACCATTTCCAATCTCAAGTAACCATTTAGCATATTGTTGGTCTTCTTCACTAAGACCTAATCTCATATTTTGAGTTAATTTAAAAACTTGTAATTGAGGCCATAATTGTGATCTTCTTAATGTTCTACTAATAATTTCTGCTCTTGAACCTTTAATAACAATTGGTAAAGTCTGTCTAAAATCTCCACCAAATACACATGTAATTCCACCAAATAATTGTTCTGAATCTTTAATATCTTTAAGAGTTCTGTCAACAGCTTCAAAACAGTATTTACTTTGAGTAGGTGCTTCATCCCAAATAATTAAAGCTGTTTCTTTAATAAGTTCAGCTAATTGAGTACCTTTTCGAATATTACATGTAGAACTTTCATCTGGTTCAAGTGGAATTTTAAATGTTGAATGAGCAGTCCTTCCTTCTTGTAATAAAAGTGTAGCAACTCCAGATGATGCAACACAAATCACTATAAGACTTTGACTTCTAAGACAATGACAAATTGAATTATAACAAAATGTTTTGCCTGTGCCAGCTGGACCATTAAGAAAAAAACATTTTCCAAGGTTTTCTGTTGCTGAAATACAAACAGATTCAAAAAAGTTCTTTTGTTCAACATTCATCTGTTCAAATTCTTGATTTGCTAATATAGTAAACTCTTCAGCTTGAAGCATATACTGTCTATGACTTCTTAAAAATCTGTTTCCAAGTAATTGTGGCCAATTTTCATTTGGTATTAGTATTGTATCTGGATATTGTCTATCTGTACTATTTGTATACCAACTAAAAAGAAGGTATAAACAATAATCTTCAATGTATTCTTGAGGAAAATCATTGTTTTGAGGTAAATACATTTGTAATTCATTAATAAGACCTGTATTATTAGAGTTTAGTATAAAAACTTGTAATTTAAATATATAAAATAATAATAGTTGCCTTGACAAAGGTGTTCTTTATATTTTACCCAAAGTCTTCTAGGATTTGAAGGTGAACATTCAAGTAAAAGTAAAACAAACAGTTTTCTTAATTGATGAGGCATTTGATAACTTGATGCATCCAAAAGACATTGATCAATTTCATTGTCATCATTTAATAAACCAAGAGTAATGCATGTATTTTTGTATGTAGGAAAAACTTGTCTATTAACTGTTCTTAAGTCTTGAAAAGATTTTGGACCTTTAACAACAGTTAGAAGTAATCTTAAATAAAACTTTTCACCCTCTTTTAGAGATATAAAATACATTCTACCAATTGAAAACCCTTTTTTTCGTTTTGTCCATATTTTTTTTGACTTATTCCAAACATAATGTTGAGGAAATTCTTGATAAACATATTGTAGTCCATCTGTATGACTTCTATTGTATTTAAAGAATGTAGTTAATGTTGTATCCTTTTCTATATTTTGTTGCAATCTTTCAGGAGTATCAGTATTAGGATTAATAATGATAGATTGTTCATTTTCAAGATGAATTGCAAGTCTTTGTACTGGAGGAACTTCACTATACATTCTAAATGACAAAATTCGCTAAACAGCTTCAGGTGCTGAAATATATCTTGAGTCAATATATTGTAGTACTTTATTATCTTGTACTTGTTCAATTGTTGCTCTATCATGCCCTTTATTTAATAAGTAAGAAAGTGTATTATTATAACTGAAAAAAGGTATACCTTTATAAATATATTTGTGAATATATTTAACACTCTTTATTGAACCACAGGCTTCAACATTAATGTGACATTGAAATTTTTTTTAATAATACTTTGTTATAAGGAACAACTCTGTTATTATTAAGTTCAATTTCTTTATTATTTTTGATCCAAATCTGCTTTTTATCTCTTCTTTTATATTTTGGATATGAATCTTCATCAAATGTAGTTGTATCTCGGAATGATTTAGGGAATCCCTTTTTACATTTCTGACCTAAATAAGTATTTTATTTATTTGATAAATTTTGTCTAAACTGATTTTAAAATAAAATAAGTATATAAAGATCTTACCTGGTCTACTATTTGATTCTAAACAGCTAGTTATACCTGTTCAACATTCATGATACATATAAGAAGCAACTAATTCAAATAATTCTGGGTCTTTTTCTTTGTCTGGTGATTCTACAGAAATTGTATCATCTACATCTTGAGGTGTTCTAAGTTTTGAATCCTCATACATAGTTAATAAAAGATGCATATGAGGAAGACCTCTTTTTTGATATTCAATAGTATAAATATGTGTAACACAGTTCCCTTACAACAAATAGAATATAATTAGTATAATAATAAGATAAAAAGATTCTTATTTACCTAAGACTTTTTCTTCATTATAAATTCAATAAGAGCTTGAACTTTTGCATGAAAAACTCGAACAACTAAATCAGGTCTATCAGCTACAGTTTGTCCAGGTTTTAATTCTCTTTGAATTTCAGGCCATTTTGGATTTGCTGTCATTGTAATAAAATAATCAATATGTTTGAAAAATCTTGCAATTGCCATTGAGTCTTGATAAAGTTGTTACATTTGTCTTGCACTGCCAGAAAAACTCGAAGGAAGAATAATCTTTTTACCTGTATTATTTAAATATTAAACTCTGGAAAAAAATTTAAAGAAAGATTAATCATTTTACCTATATTAGTTAAATTAGTATCTTCAGGAAGTCTATCCATTAAACCCTTTACAGTTTCAACTCTAATATGTTCTTGATTTTGAACAATCCAATTAAGATTATGTTGTTTAATTGTTGCCCAAGAGTCTACTAAGAATTCTTGAAAAAGATCTCTTGAAAGAAATAATGAATCATTTCTTCTGTTTTGTCTACAAAAGATTGAGTATGCTGAATAGTCTCTTAATGTTACATAACCTCTTTTTCCACTTGATACTTCAATATTAATATTGTCTTGTATTTCCTCTTCTTGAATTTTGTTCTGATGATTTTGTCTATTCTCTAAAAGTAATTTAGTTAGTATTATATATCTTAATTGTATTAATTTATATACCTTCATTAATATACTTTATTGTATTAACAGAAAATCCGAGTTCACCATAAGGAAAAAGAACAACATAATGTA